TTGAACAACTAGTTAGAGGAAGAATGATGCTTATGTAAGGTTTAGGAAACAAGGATCGGAAAAGGCTCTAGAGGAATACAAGTTAGCCAGGAAGGAGCTGAAGAAAGGGCCTAGGAGAGCTATAAGGGGGCATGAGAAAACCTTGGCAGATAGGATCAAGTAAAACGCCAAGGCTTTTTACATGTGAGGAATAAGAGCATGACCAGAGAAAGGGCAGGGCCAATCAAGGCTTGTAAAGGGAATTTGTGCATGGAACCTAAAAAGATGGGAGGTCCTTAATGAATACTTTTCATTAGTATTCACAACTGAGAGGGACCTAATTGTAGGGGAGGACAGTGTGAAACAGGCTGATAGGTTGACGTTAGTAAGGATGATGTACTAGGAATTGAGGAATTTGAATATAGATAAGCCCCCCCCAGGCCTGATGGGATTTATCTCAGGATTCTGTGGGAAGCGAGGGAAGAGAGATTGCAGGGCCTTTGGTGATGATCTTTTCGTCCTCACTGTCCATGGACATAGTGCTGAGAGACTGGACAGTGGCAAATGTCATTCCTTGTTCAAAAAGGGAATAGGGATAACCCTGGAAATTACAGGCCAGTTAGTTAGTCTTACTTCAGTGGTGGGCAAGTTATTGGAAAGGGTCAAGATAGGATTTAGGATCACTTGGATAGGCAGTTTGATTAGTGATAGTCAGCATGGATTTGAGGGGTAGATCATGCCTCACAAGCCTTATTGAAGTCTTTGAAGAGGTGACCAAACACGTGGATGAAGGTAGAGCAGCGAATGTGGTATACATGGATTTAAGTAAGGCGTTTGATAAGGTTCCCCATGCAGAAGGTAAGGAGGCATGGGATAGGGGAAGTGTGGCAGATTGGATTCAGAATTGGCTGACCCTTAGACAAAAGGGTGGTAGTGGACAGAAAATATTCAACATGGTGCTCAGTTATGAGTGGTGTACCACAAGGATCTGTTCTGGGTCCTCTTCTATTTGTGATTTTTGTAAATGATTTGGATGTAGGAGTGGAAGGGTGGATTAGTAAGTTTGCGGACAATATGAAGGTGGGTCGCATTGTGGACCCAGTGTGGAGGGCTGTTCTAGGTTAAAAAAAGGACATTGATAGGATGCAGAGCTGAGAAGTGGCAGATGGAGTTTAACCCTGAAAAGTGTGAGGTGATTCATTTTGGAAGGACAAACTAGAGCAGAATATAGGGTTAATGGAAAGATTCTTGGCAGTGAGGAGGAGCAGAGGGATCTTGGGGTTCATGTCCACAGTTCCCCAGAAGCTGCCACCCAGGTGGCTATAGTTGTGAAGGCGTATGGTGTGTTAGCTTTCATTAGAGGGATTGAGTTCAAGAGCCGTGAAGTTATGCTCCAGCTATACAAAAGTGTGGTTCAGCCACATCTGGTGTATTGTGTCCAGTTCTGGTTACCTCATTACAGGAAAGAGGTGGAAGTGTTGGAAAAGGTGCAGAGGAGATTTTCCAGGATGTTGCCTGGAATGGAGGGAAGGTCTTATGGAGGAAAGGTTGAGCGCGCTAGGGCTTTTCTCTTTAGAAAGAGAG